GTCCATCTCCTGGTGACAGGATGTGGCTCCTGTTAATTCACCAGGAGCAAGGTGACAGACACAGAGGCTGTTCATGGATTCTGGAATAAACCTGTACATGGCTTGAATTTGTACGTTTTATGTACTCTAAGACCCAGAGACATAGACCATGAATGGCTGCGGGAGCTTTAGTGGTTCCAGTAACCTCAGGGACAGGCATACTGGATGGCTTCAGGACATTCAGCCTCTTCGTATTATATGTAAGTACTGCATAGCCAGTGGTGACAACCAGGGCAGGGTGTCCCAGGATAGCCATAAATCAGCAGGAATTTTCATAGATAAATCCTCACCCCATCCTAGCCCACCTCAGCCAAACCAGTTCCAATGGCAAAGGCTGATTTATTTCAATGAACTTTTTAACTTGCAGAATTTCTTCAAACTCTTTAAGCCAATAGTATCGACTCAGAAATCTGGGGTTCTCAGGCCTGCCACTTATCATCTGTAGAACCTGAACCCCAGTTTTATTGATAAAAAGGGGATAGCAATTTTGCTTGCCCTGCCATCAATCATGAAATTTAACTGATATAATACATACCAAAATACAGAACAGAATGTGTTACCATTTAGTGCGAGTGACCCTGGCACTTACAACATGTAGGAACACATATTGATTTATGAGATAATCCCGTATGAGGATATAGCCAAGATTCTAAATATGTAGTTTAAAAAATCCTACTAAAATTCAAATTAGGCTATTCTTTCTTCAAAAATCAATCAACAACTATGTTAGGCTTGTTAATTTTGCTCTCTTTACCTGTCTGCATTGGGCTTCACTGTGCCCAGAATCGTTATCAGCATGCGAGGCATGACTCCTCCAGGCAAATGCAGGTCATAAGGCACAGTCTGGGAATAAACATGTATGTATTCAGACTATTCAGGGGAGATTTTGGTCATGATGAGTTCCACTTCCGATTTTCCTATACAGGCTGGAGACCATACTGTACACCTTCTGTTATTATCTTATATGCAAATTGGAAAATCTAATGTTGAAAGACAAGGAGGGTTTGGAAGTACTGGAACAAAAGTATATTGGCAAACTTTTATTAACGGCCAAAGACCTCAACTAGAGATCAAACTAAATGGCAAATCTTTTGTTAGACTTTATCTTCAGCAATTATTAAACCAAATTGAGGCAATACTTGTTTGGCCTGTTGGTATCATTGTTCCAATTTTTGTTTAGACGAACATGCAAATGTCATCCATATAATGAATAATATAACTGTGGGGAAAATAGTTTCATAGTATTTCCAAAGGCTGACTGACAAAATGTTGGCACAAGGTCGAGCTATTAAGCATACCCTAAGGCAAAACATTCCATTGCTATCGTTTAGTTGGCTGTTGATTCTTTAAAGCAGGAACGGTAAAGGCAAATTTTTCTTGATCAGGTATTTGTAAAGGGATTGTAAAACAAGCAGTCTTTTAAATCCACTATTATAATACACCAATCTTTAGGGATCATAGTCGGAGACAGGAATCTCGGCTGAACAGTCCCCATTGGTTGTATAATTGAATTGATCTTTCTTAAATCAGTTAACATTCACCATTTACCGGATTTCTTTCTAATAACAAATAAAGGAGAGTTCCACAGACTGGTGGACTCCTCTATATGGCCTGTTTGTAATTGTTCTTCTACTAACATTTGAAAAGCACTCAATTTTTCCTGGTCTAGCAGCCACTGTTCAGTCGATATAGGCTCTTGTGATATCCATTTCAAAGCCAGCACATAGTGGTGCCCTTCAACAGCAGTGGCCGCTATCCAAAATTTGGATAGCCTAAACCAAGTCGAGAAGAGTGCTCTTTGGGTGCCATGAAAGTCTTAGTCCCTTGGCCTTTCTTACCCAAACCAAGGATTATAATTCATATTAAGCATCATTTGTCTAGCGGGAACAGATGAGGGTGAGTATACTGATGTAAGCTCCCCACTGTTGTAACAAATCTCTTCCCCACAGATTAATAGCTATGTCAGCCACATGAGGTTTTAGGGTGGCTGTCTGTTTATCAGGGCCACAATTCAATATTTGTTGACTTTGAAATATATTAGTCATAGTTCCAATTCCAGAAAGTACTGTGGGGACCTGTTGTAAAGGCCAAGCAGTTGGCCAAAAGCCTTTAGAAATAATTGTAACATCATCCCAAGTATCTACAAGTCCAAAAAAAGATTTGCCATTTAGTTTGCTCTCTAGTTGAGGTCTCTGATCATTAATAAAAGTTTGCCAATATATTTTAGTGCCAGTACTCCCAAACCCTCCTTGTCTTTCAACATTAGATTTTCCAATTTGCATATAAGGTAGTAACAGATTGTGTGCAATACGGTCTCAGCCTGGATAGGATAATTGGAAGTGGAACTCATCATGATCGAAATCGCCCCTGAATAGTCTGAATCAATCACATCCAAATGCACTTAAATTCCTTGCATAGTAAGAGAACTCCGGCCAATGATTAATCCCACTGTGGCTGGAGGAATTGGACCAAATATGCCCGTAGGTAATTTACATATGCCAGCAGCTGGCATTAGAAGACCATTATCACAGTACGGGAGATCTAATGCCGCACTCCTTTTCGAGGCAGGCAACAAGTCAGTAACATTTAATATTGGGGAATCCAATTTTGAAATTGTGGTGGGGGCTGCTGGCCGGGGCTGTCTATAGCCACATTATTTTCCGAAGTCTGCGGCTGCAAAGTTGGGAACTGTTTGACAAGACTGTTTCCCATATTGTTTTTCTTGCGGACCGGGGCAGTGCCCCGTCCCCCGTTTCCCTGGTCTGTAAGGGTGTGGCCGTCAGCATGAAATTTAGAATGGCATTCATCAGTCCAATGATATTACAGCGAAGGCGAAGTCCTGGAGCAGGACCAGCTGGCTGGTTATTACTAGTTGTTCTCGGGGGTTGTTTACAATGTTTTTTCAAATGACCTTTTCAGGTGCAATTAAAACATTTAGAGGCTGTTTTATGTCCTCCGGGACCTTTTCCCTGGATAGCCTCAGGCAATAGTTGCATTTTATAAGTGTCTGACCCAACGTCCAGACAGACTTTTATATATTCCTCTAAAGGAGTGTTACCGGACTTTAAAGGGTGTAAAAGCCGCTGACACTCAGAATTAGCCTTATCAAAAGCCAATATACGTAACAGCATATTTCCTAAATCAGGAGGACTGATTGTTTTTTGCACAACATCTTGCAATCTAGTAATAAAACCCACATAAGGTTCCTTAACAGTTTGTTTAACATTTACAGAAGTCACAGTTTGTCCAGGCAGAGTTATCTTCTCCCATGCTCTAAGACAGCATTGTCAGACTTGAGCAATAGCCTGATCATCACATTTCAATTGAACATCTATGCCAAACCATTTTCCTTCTCCTGTAATCTGTGCCGCCAAAATATCCGCTGGAGGATCTTGCGATTGATTAAGCCACGTTTGCTGATGAGCTTCACCACCCACCAGGTGGTCAACTGAAGAAACTTATAAGACTGTACGGGCGAGCATTTCCCAATCCCAAGGAATTAATCTTTCCGCTTGAGCCAATCCCTCAAGCAAGCCCTTGGAGTAAGAAGAGTTCGTGCCATATGAGACAAGGCTTGCTTTAATTCTTTGACAGTTTAAACAGGATGGGCTGATGAACACAGCATGGGCTCCGAGGTGCTCGTGCCACCCCACCTTGATCATCAGAATCCAAATCTGGCTGTACTATAGCAACCGGGTAAAGATAAGCTTCCAGGTCTCCTTGTAACTGTGCTTCTCTTATACCTCTCTGAATGCCACCTTGAGCTCTCCTTTGTTTTTTAGGAGCCTTTTTTAAGGCCTTTTTTAAGGGAGGATCATGTTTCCAGGAAAAATCAGCATAAGAAAGCAGCGGTGCTGAGGGCGAGAGCTTAGAGCAGCCAAGAGGGAGGGAGCGGGAGCGAGGTAAATCTCTAGCTGATGTTTTGTACCTTTTTTCAGTCTCAGAAGGAGCAAAGTGAGTAGACAGCAGAAATTCATCTTCACAATTTCTCCACTCCTTCATTCTTTCTATAGACCGATATTGAGGGCCAATAACCTAACTGAATGGCTTTTTCTCATCCTTGCCTGATTCATACGGAAGATCGTATATAACACCTCCTCTTCCGTACGATAGTCAGGCTGCAAATCTGTTGCTCTCTTTATTTTAGGACAGGAGTGAGCCATCTCACTATCAGAGTCTGAGTCTGAGTCTGATTGAAATGTTGCAGAGCCTGAGTATTAAGGAGCAAAGTTGCCACACAACAAGAGAGACCTTCCCTCCTGGAGCACATGTGTCACAGTGCTCTGATGTCCAGCCTCCATTGCCGGAGTCTAAGCATATCCAGAGGCGGAAACCAATACCAGTGTCTGGAAATTAAATTAAATAGTTTCTGGAAAGTTTGCTGCTTGGAAACCACCCAAGAACTCTGTAACAGAGTCTATAATAATTCAATGTGCTCAGTGAATTTAGGCTGATTCTGCCCCATGTGTTACCCTGACTGAAAAGTCCCTGGAGCTGAACTCACCATTCCTGGGCACCACGGCTAGAAGCCTTCTCCAGGTCTCTGCGACACCGTACGGGACTCTCCTTAACTCCAGTGAAGACTTCTGCCTTTAGGACTCTGCTCGCTGTGCCAGTTGCCGGGAGTTCTTGACGCTCCCAGCAAGACAGGTCCCAGGCAGGATCGTCACAAGAAATTTGGAAATAACAGAGACAGAGACAAAGAGTAGTTTAAAGTGATGGGGAAGTCAGGGGTCCTCCAGCATTCCCGTGAGCCAGGAGGCACTGAGTGAAGTCCCACATCAGTATTTATTGTTACAGGAACCAGTTGTCCTTGGTCATAGAATTATGTGTACAGATCATTCGTGTAGGTTTCAAGACTTCCCAAGGGTTTCAACGCACCCTTACCTAATTCTGTCTACAAGAGTAAACGCTTACAAAATTTTTCTAAGATAAACATTTTAAGCCCTAAGTTAAGAATAGACCTAGCTGAGCATACAAGTTAAAGATAAAAATGCATAAAGCAGGAACACTGAGCCTGCATACTAACCTAATCTATTTCTCTATATACCGAGACATGTGGTCAGAAGTGAAGCAGGAATAGCCTTGTTGAAGTTTATGATGGTTCCGGCTTCAAGTTGTCTGCTGGGCTGGCATTTTTCAATCAGTTTCTTAGCCTTGGGCCCTATGCTGAGCTCTGCCTTGCACAAGCTCCAGGCGCTGCCTTGCAGTTATCCCTGATGGGTGGAATGTCTCCCTTGTTGCTAAGCAGCTTTTGCTCTGTGAAGTAATACGCCCACAGATTCCTTCAAGACAAAAGTCCTGCAAAACTCCTGAAACTTTCCATGTCTCTTAACCCTATTTCCCAACATCTCACCCATTCTTTTTAGAAAAAAACTGATGAAGTTTGATAGCCATCACTGCGAGACGTTGGTCTCCGGAGTCTCGTCTTCTTCGGGGATTTTTCTAGACTATAAGTAAGGACAAGCAAATGATTAAAATAATTACAAAAGTTACTATAGCAGAACTCCCATAGATCTTAAGAGGAGAAAGTGGGTTAGCTGACTTCATTCCAGAGGAAATACTGTTAATACTGTCAGCCTCAGAGAGTAGATCAACTTTATGACTGAAGGTACTTAATATTTCCTGTTGTAAATTTCCAATTTCTTCAGTCAGATTTCCTTAAGTAGATGTTTAATGTTTTCCCAAGGAAACCGAGTTACATATGTGAGGTGTAACACAAAATTGAGTAATATTCCAATCACAACGGAGTCTAATTTGTTTTTGTAGGCTTATAACCTGGTCTCCCAGTAAGGTGACCGCTTATTGTAAGTCGGCCACCTGAGTAGCCAATTTTTTATCACTTTGATTTTGGATGGACCATAATTGATTTCATTCATGATGCCAATTCTGAACAAATTCAGTAGTTTGCACAGTTTGATGTAAAGCCACCCCTGCTGTGGCTGCAGAGGCGGTCACAGCAATCATTCCCAAAATAGTTGCTATTAGGAGACCAATAAATCTTTTAGTACGTTTAAGAATGTGGTTAAGTAGCTTGTCTAAAAGGAACATTGCTGGGGTTTCTTGCCAGACTCTATTCATTTAACAGGTAACCACAGCCCCATTCTGGCTTTGAGAATATAAAGTGTTTCTGTGTAAGGATTAAACTTTATAGAATTGTCAATAGTTATAAGAAGAATAGGTGTTATACATCACAAAGAAGGAAGAAGGTTCATTATATTCAGCAGGCCCAATCAAGAATAAGTAAGGCAATTTAACACAAGCTTGGATATAATGAGTAGAGTTCAAACAGAAAGTCCACTCGCGGCTACTGTTTGTATCCAATCTGTATTTGCTAACTCAGGCCTGTACAGGGTGGAAAGCGGCTGACAGTTTCCACAATTGATCACAAATAGCATCAGTTAAAATATGAGGGGCCGGAGGGCTCATATTGTCATTGAGCCATCTAATATGACTTTGAAAGCCAGTGTTTTTTACAGACATCGAGGTGGTGGTTTTATTCCAATGAAATTTTTTAAGATTGCAAGAGGAAGCAGGATGCCCACAGGGGCTCCAATCAAGTACGTAACCGGAAAATGGTGATCTAGTAAGAATGTGTCCCACGTGGGCTCTACAATTTTCCCATTGTACTCAGGTTTTAGAGTCAGTAATTACTACCTCTTTACAAATGGGTACATCTGTGGGTGCAATTTCAGAATGCCCAAAAGAAGAAAAGGAAGAGGCAGTCAGGAGGAATAACCAGGACTTACTATTATCGCTGGCTGATTTGGTGGTGACCAGCCAGTTTTGGGTACAAGGGTTTAAACAACGAACACCTTTACCAATACGTATTGGAGGGCCCTCTATTCCAACTTCATATCTATTAATTTTAGTCCCTACCTCGTCAAATTTCATTGGACCACAATACTCACAGGGTCCCAGCAGCGAACTGAAATCATTAACGAATACTAAAAAAGGAGTGTCAGCCCAGTTGACAATATTATTTAAAGGTGGGTTAGGAATATAGGCCCAATAGTGATAGGTTTGACTGCCAGATACACCTACCGCCATGCTCACTGCACTGATCATAGCAAGAAAAAGGTTTGCAGACGTTTTAGGTACAGATGTCTGATCCAGTATCTTGTCTGCTTCCTGATAGGTCCTCTTCAGCTTGCCCCATGTTATGGGTTCTGAATGTTTTGTCATGGCGGATCGGGGCTTCTTGTACTTTGTTTTCTTCTTTTGAGAATCCTTGGTCAGGGCTTCAGCCGTAGAGGGTGGGATCCTCTGCTTTTTCCCCTCGGGTGGACACTCTGGGCTTGATTCTTCTGCTGGGGATACACATCGTTTGTCCGTCATCTGTCAAAACACAAAAGCATAACCTTGACCCCACACCTTTGCCCATCCTTCTTCTCCATTTATTTTCTATATCATCTTTCCCCCAGATGGGCTGGTGAGGAAAAGAGTCTGGTTGTCGACTCCCATTCCAATGTTTCTCTACTGCTGTTAAATGGTCTTCTTTACAAACATTCAGAAAATTTAGATTAAATAAGGCTGGATTTATTCTATATCTTGGGGACCGTATTCCTCCCCCTTTTTGTTTCAATAACATTATTTTTTAAGGTTTGATGAGTATGTTCTATATGCCTTGTCCTTGAGGATTATAAGGAATGCCAGTAATGTGTTTGATATTCCATTTAGTGCAAAAGGTTGCAAAACAGTGAGTAGTATAAGCAGGGCCGTTGTCGCTTCTGATGGAGGCTGGGACTCCCATATCTGTAAAACAGGAGTGTAAGTGTGAAAGTACATGTTGAACAGTTTCTCCAAGGGATGGAGTAGCCATAATGAGACCGGAGTTAAGTATCTATTGTAACATGTACAACAACTAACTTGCTCAATTCAGGAATGTGTGTAACATCCATTTGCCATAATTCTTTCGGTGAGAGGCCTCGGGGATTAACCCCCGCACGAAGACTAGGCTGATTAATTGTTTGGCAAGTGGGACAGTGAGAAACAATATGCTTAGCTTGATTATTTGTTATGTGAAATTTTTGAATTAAACCTTTAGTATTAATAGGAGTTAATTGATGAAATTGAGTTGCTTCTTGAACAGAACCAGCAAATAACTGATCTATTTTCTCACTGCCAGCACCAATGGGCCTGGAAGATTAGTATGACATCTAATATGAGTAATAAAAAGTGGAAACTGGCAATTCCATATAATCGACTGAAGTTGCTGAAACAGCTTAGAAACTTCATCAGTTTCTGTAATAGTGACTGCTTCGAAGGTTAAAACTGAATATACAATATATTGTGAATCAGAAACAATATTTAAGGGTGAAGTAACATCTTGTAAAAGCTGAGGAACAGCTTGCAGTTCCAATTTTTTGTGCTGAATTATAAGGTGTGGTCCACACTTTAAAGGACCAGAATAATCAGCTCGACCACTGCAGCTGCCCTCAGTAAAAACAGGTGAGGGCATGAGGTATAGGCGTGGATTTCGCTATTTTAGGTAATATCCATTGAGTTAATTTCAGAAATTGAAATAATTTGTTTTTTGGATAGTGATTGTCGATTGTTCCTACAAAGTCAGATATACGGATTGCCAATCTAGATTTTGTTGATAACCTATTTCAATTTGTTAGTTAGCAAGAGGAACAACAATTTTCTGAGGATCTTGTCCACTTAGTTGTTTTAATCTTTGGTGGCCTTTAAACATAATATGACCAATTTTTTCCAAATATATGTCATAAGACACTTTTGTTGTTTATGTGGCAGAAAAATCCATTCAATTATACCCTCTTCTTGAATTAAGGTAGCAGAGGGAGAATGTTTTGATGGGTAAACAATTAAATCTACTCTTTACTGAAGATTCACTCTAGACAGTTGAGCTTTGTGAATATGAGATTGAATCCACGCCAATTCTTTTCCTGCCTCAGTTAACAGACAAAGGATGTTAAGATTAGAGTCACCTTTTAGTATATCAAACAACTTGCTTAAAGCATAAGTAGGAATACCTAACATACATCTATACAAATTTATGTCTCCTAGTAATTTTTGAATGTCATTCAGAGTTTGTAATTTGTCTATACATATTTGAACTTTTTGAGGAACTATATTATTTCTATCAATGAGAGACCCCAGATAAGTAAATGGATAAGTAAATGGACTTCATTTTCAACAATCATTAAACCAAATTGAGGCAATAGTTATTTGGCTTGTCAGTATAGTTGTTCCAATTTTTGTTTAGATGAACATGCAAATAAAATGTCATCCATATAATGAATATATAACTGTGGGGAAATCAGTTTTATAGTATTTCCAAAGGCTTACTGACAAAATAATGGCACAGGGTCAAGCTTTTAAGCATGCCCTGAGGCAAGACTTCCCATTGGTATCATTTCATTGTTTGCTGATTGTTTAAAGCAGAAACGGTAAAGGCAAATTTTTCTTGATCAGGTATTTGTAAAGAGATTGTAATAAAGCAGTCTTTTAAATCCACTATTACAATATGCCAATCTGTAAGGATCATAGTTGGAGACGGGAGTCCTGGCTGAAGAGCCCCCATTGGTTGTATAATTGAATTGATCTTTCTTAAATCAGCTAACATTCACCATTTACCAGATTTCTTTTAAATAACAAATACAGGAGAGTTCCACGGACTGGTGGACTCTTCTATATGTCCTGCTTGTAATTGTGCTTCTACTAACGTTTGAAGAGCACCCAATTTTTCCTGGTTCAGCAGCCACTGGTTCAGTCCATATAGGCTCTTGTGATATCCATTTCAAAGCCAGCACATAGTGGTGCCCCCTTCAACACCAGTGGCCGCTATACAAAATTTGGATAGCCTAAACCAAGTCGAGAGGAGTGCTCTTTGGGTGCCACGAAAGTCTTAGCCCCTTGGCCATTCTTACCCAAGCCAAAACAAGGACTATAATTCATATTAAGCATCATTTGTTTAGCAGGAGCAGATAGAGAAGGTATACTGACGTAAGCTCCCCACTGTTGCAACAATCTCTCCCTCACAGATTAATAGCTGTATCAGCCACATGAGGTTTTAGGGTAGCTGTTTATCAGTGCCACCACAATTTAATATTTGTTGACTTTGAAATATATTAGTCATAGTTCCAATTCCAGAAAGTACTGTGGGGACCTGTTGTAAAGGCCAAGCGGTTGGCCAAAAGCCTTTAGAAATAATTGTAACATCATCCCAAGTATCTACAAGTCCAAAAAAAGATTTGCCATTTAGTTTGCTCTCTAATTGAGGTCTCTGGTCATTAACAAAAGTGTGCCAATATACTTTAGTGCCAGTACTCCCAAAACCTCCTTGTCTTTCAACATTAGATTTTCCAATTTGCATATAAGGTTACCAACAGAAGGTGTGCAATACAGTCTCCAGCCTGCATAGGATAATCGGAAGTGGAACTCGTCATGACCGAAATCGCCCCTGAATAGTCTGAATCAATCACATCCAAATGCACTTAAATTCCTTGCATAATGAGAGAACTCCGGCCAATGATTAACCCCACTATGGCTGGAGGAATTGGACCAAATATGCCTGTAGATACTTTACATATGCCAGCAGATGGCGGTAGAAGACTTTTATCACGGGAGAGCAGATCTAAGGCCACCCTCCCGCTTCTGGCAGGTGACAAGTCAGCAGCAACCTTTAATTTTGGGGAATTCAATTTTGAAATTGTCGTGGAGGCTGCTGCCGGGGCTGTTCATCGCCACATTGTTTTCTTGGGTCTGCGGCTGCCAGGTTAGGAACTGTTGGACAAGATTGTTTCCCACATTGTTTTTCTTGGGGCCCCGATTAGGGACCTGTCCCGTTTCCCTGGTCCGTAAGGAGGTGGCCGTCAGCATGAAACTTAGAACGGCACTCATTAGTCCAATGATATCCTTTACCATGGCAAAGACAAGGTCCAGGAGCAGGACCGGCCAGATGATGATTATTAGTTGTTCTTGGGAATTATTTGCAATCTTTATTCAAATGACCTTTTCAGCCACAATTAAAACATTTAGAGGCTGTTTTTTGTCCTCCGGGGCCCTTCCCCCGGCTAGCCTCAGCCAATAGTTGCATTTTATAGGTGTTTGACCTGACATCGCAACAGGCTTTTATATATTCCTCTAAAGGATTGTTACTGGACTTTAAAGGACTTAAAAGCCGCTGACACTCGGAATTAGCATTATCAAAAGCCAGCATATGTAACAACGTATTTCCTAAATCAGGAGAACTGACTGTTTTTTGCACAACATCTTGCAATCTAGTAATAAAATCCACATAAGGTTCATTAATAGTTTGTTCAACATTTACACAAGAAGTCACAGTTTGTCCAGGTGGGGTTATCTTCTCCCATGCTCTAAGACAGCATTGTCGGACTTGAGCAATAACCTGATCATCATATTTTAATTGAGCGTCTACGCCAAACCATTTTTGCTGTCCCGTAATTTGTGCCGCTGCAATATTTGCTGGCAGATCTTGGGATTGGTTTCTCCACACTTGCTGATGAGCTTCGTCAGCCCACGACAGGGCAAACTGAAGACATTCAGATGGAGACAAAACTGTTCAAGCAAGCATTTCCTAATCCCGAGGAATTAATTGTTCCACTTGAGCCAATCCCTCAAACAAGTCCTTGGTGTAAGGAGAGTTGGTACCATATGAGTCACAGCCTTGCTTCAGTTCTTTCAGAGTTTTAAACAGGATATGATCATGAACATGGCATGGGCCTCAAGGTGCCCACGCTGCCCTGCCTTGATCATCAGAATCTGAATCTGGTTGTACTACAGCAACCAGGAAAAAATAAGCCTCCAGGTTTCCTTTTAACTGTGCTTCTCTTACACCTCCCTGACTGCCACCTTGAGCTCTTGTTTTTTAGGAGCCTTCTCTGAAGCCTTTTTAGGGAAGGATTATGTTTCAGGGAAAAATCAGCATAACAAAGCAGTGGTGGTCAGAGCAAGAGCCTGGAGCGAAGAAAGTCTTTATCTGATGTTCCGTCCCTTTTTTGTCTCATAAGAAGCAAAGGTATTGGGAAGCGGAAATTCATCTTCAGATTTTTTCTTTTCCTTCATTCTCTCTATGGATGCATATTCAGGACCAGTAGCCAAATTTAGCAGGTTTTTCTCATCCTTGCCTGACTCCTATGGAAGATCGTATATAATCTCCTCTTCCATATGAAAGTCAGGCTCGGGATCTGACACTGTCTTTATTTTAGGACAGGAATGAGCCATCTCACTATCACAGTCCAAGTCTGACTGAAATGGTGGCAGAGCCTCAGTAATTAAGGAGCAACGTTGCCACAGAAAAAGAGGGACCCTCTCGCCTCTCTGGTGTGCGTGCCGCAGCGCTTGGATGGCCCGCTGCCACTGCCACAGCTTCAGCTTACACAGAGAAGGAAACCAATAGCAGTGTTTGGAAACTAAATGAAATAGTTCCCCAAAAGTTTTCTGCTTGGCAACCACCCCACAACTCTGTAACAGAGTTTGCAACAATTCCAAGTACTTAGTAAACTTGGATTGATTCTGACCCATTTGTTAGCCTGACTGAGGGAAATCCCTGGAGCTGAACTCACCCTTCCTGGAGACGGTGGCTCGAAGCCTTGTCCGGGTCTCTGGGACGCTGTACGGGAATCTCCTTCACTCTGGTCAAGGCTTCTGCCTTTAGGATCCTGATCGCTGCGCCAGTTGCTGGAAATTACCTACTCTCCCAACAAAACAGGTCCGAGGCAAGATTGTCCCAAGAGATTTGGAAATAATAAAGACAAAGTATAGTTTAAAGTGAACGGGAAGTCAGGGGTCCTCCAGCATTTCCGTGAGCCAGGAGGCACTGAGCGAAATCCCGCATCAGTATTTATTGGTACAGCAATTAGTTGTTAGTGGTTATAGACTTAATGTGTACAGATTATCTGTTTAGGTTTCAAGGCTCCCCAAAGGTTTCAAGAGATCCCTTAATTAATTCTATCTACATGAGCAAACAGTTATAAAATTTTTCCAAGATAAACTTCTTAAGCTCCAAGTTAGGAATAGACCTGGCTGAGTATATAAAGATAAAACTGTCAATTAGCAGTAAAGCGTAAAACACACACATAGAGACCATATATTTCTTTATCTAGCTCATTAACTGAGACATGCGGTCAGGAGTGAAACAGGAACAGCCTTGAGGCTAATGATGGTTGCAGCTGCAGGTATCTGCTGGGCTGACATCCTTTGATCAGTCTCTTAATCTTTGGTCCCATGCCGAGCTCTGCCCTGCATAAGCTCCAGGTGCTGCCTTGCAGTTGCCCGATTGGTGGAATGTCTCCCTTGTTGCTAAGCACCTTCTAGTCTATGAACTAATACGCCCACAGATTCCTTCTAGACAAAAATCCTGCAAAACTCCTGAAACTTTCCATGTATCTTAACCCTATTTCCCAACATCCAGCTAGTCTATAAATCTGAAAGGGAAGGATTTGGGACTGAGATGTGTCTGGATCCCCCACAGAATTATGTTTTACATTTAGAATTCACTTGCTAAAATGTGTTTTATAATTTGCATGAAAATTGAATCCTTAGGTCACAAATTATCTTCAGAAGTTTTGTGAAAACCAGATTACTTTGGTTCCTCCACATGTTTGCTCAATGACTCTGAGCAAGTCATATAACCCCTCTATTACCCCATTTGCTCATGTGGAAAATGAGAGTAACAGTATCTTACAGAGCAGTAGTGCGGTTAAATCAGATTGTCCAGGTGGATGCATACTGCTGGCACATGTTATGTACTCAGCAAAGTGTTTGTTAAGAATAACCAAAACTTTCCCCCATTACTGCAATCTTAACTTCATTTATATTAAGGCAGCTTTATCAATGCCTTCAAAAGATACACTACCTTCTCTTTATACTAATGGCACACACAATAAATTCAATATGAACACTTATTTTTTTCCTATTGGACCAACATACACCCATGGATGGTCACTGAAGTGGCTCTAAGTGGCTGGTTTAAAGCTATGGGTCTCCCTGAAGCCCTCTGGGCACCAAGTACATGAAATGATTCCATCTTACCGGTGGTCCAGCAGCGGCGCCATAGGGGCCAGCAGCAGGGTAGGCTCCAGGAACACTGGGCTGTCCAGGAGGTGGGTAAGCCCCAGACCCACCCAGTTGTCCCGGGTAGCCTCCAGGTGCAGGTGGTCCGGGATAAGCTCCAGGTGCTGTAGGGCCAGGGTATACACCAGAAGGCCCCTGCCCAGGATAAGTCCGTGGAGGTGCCTGCCCAGGATAGGTCCCTGGGGGTGCCTGCCCAGGGTAGGCCCCAGGATAGGAGGCACCTGGGTAGCCCCCTGCCCCAGGAGGTGGGTTCCCCCATGAGCCAGGCCATCCTTGAGGGTTTGGCTTTCCAGGCCCAGATAAAGCATCACTAAGCTGGAAAGAAAAACATAAGCAATTACAGGATAGAAAACAGTCACAAAAACAGAATTTTCAGGAAAACAGAAATATACGTTCTAAGAAGCAGAGGAATATGATGAAGGTATGAAATTCATATCAGTAAGCTTTATTCTACCTACTAATAGTTTTAGACTTTGGGATTACAAATGCTTTTTCACTTTATTCTTGCCTCCCATTAGATGAGGGGATGCGTTTTGTAATTTGCTCAAATGAGGAGCTAGCTCTCCTCTACCTACTGCACATACTTTCTAATCAACATGGGAAAAACAATCACAAACATTGGGATGCTCAGATTGCATGTCCCTTCCTGCTGCTCAGAGGATTTCTTAGCTCCTGCCAGCAGAGTCTACTCTCTTCTGTTCTGGGCCTTTTGGTGAAAGAGTTACTGTTACTAAGTCCTAGGCCTATCTCTGCCTGGCTTCCTTCTCAAATCTGCTGCTGGAAACACAAGGCTCCAGCTAACAAGCCCTCATTGAACAAGTGAGGCCAAAGGAAATTATGCAGTGGGAAAGCTGTGGTAAAAGCAAGACCCCCAAACCCCTCAACCTATGTGAGATGTACATGAGCGTAAGAAAACAGACATAAAACACTTACCAAAAAACTGTCTGCCATTTTACTGAGGGGAAAAAAAAGAGAGAGAGGTTATCACTTGGTCCTGAAAGATTTCACTTAAATTGAGCATTACCACTATTTCACTGGGCAGTTCCAGTCAATCTACAGGCATTATGCCTAAGTCAATAGTGTGGAACCATAAACAAATCTCACCAAGGGGTGGGGATGCTTTCCAGCTAGGTTACCGAACTCTATTTAACTCATAAATTTCAACTTTGATCACATAAGTCTGTGTTCTGAATCCCGAGAGTAAGAGGCCATACGATGCATGAGGGAGGAGGAGGAAAATGTTCCGCCCCTTCCTAGGCAAGAAATATACACAATCACGGTTTATCTTTGGCTCTCCTTCACCTGCCTTCCTGCACTCTTTCCGCCACCCTTACAAAGGGTTCCGTGTGTTAGTATTGCCCACTCCCCCTCTGTTCCCACTAACGGCCCCACTCTGGGTTTTTGAAGGAAAGCGGTGTTGACTGACTCCTACTGAGATAGGAAAGGCAACGACCTCCAGACATAGCTGTTGCTCCATTATTTACGCCTACATTTACCCACAGTTATGCCTTCTCAGGGCCAGGCACTTTGTCGGCTCCTGTTTGGGTGTAAAGATAAATAGATCTGTACGGTCAAAGGGCCCACAGTCCAGCAGGGAGATGACAGGCATTCATGGAAATAACAAGTCATCAATGCTGCAAGTTAGACTGTGTGCCTTGGAATTTAAACCCGGAAAGCTGACTTCTAAGAGGGGAAGGGAAGGTGGTGTTGGAGCTAAGCTTTCAAGGACAGGTAAGATTTGGAAGTGCTGTTTTGTTTTGTTTTTTTAAGATACTCACTATTCCAAATAAAATCTTTGGAAACTAAGGTTAAAATAAAAAAGGCAGGCGACATGGAAGAAGATATTTTAGGGTTTGCCTTGCCCAGTGCCACAGGGGTAGTCCTGAGACATCATTCCTGCTTTCTCTTGCTCCTTCCGCAGTGCCAAGTCTCCAAAAGCACAAGAGGCTCTACAGCTGCTTCAGGGGCCCCTGTGGTGAGAGGAGGAGGGCAGCTTCTGGCTTCTGCAGCCAGGGTGAGTTCTTCCTACGCTCAGGATCACCTCTGTTATGGCCAAAATGACCTGGACCTTGAAACAATCAGAATCTCTTTATCCTTGATTTGCCCACTTGTGACATTTACACAATCATTTTAAACAATGGCATTGCCCCCAAGGGGTCCAATAAGCATCAACTACTTGATAGGTTCTAAAAATGCAAAATATTAAATTTCATAAAAACTCAAACAGGCAGAGATACTCCTAGGACTTACTCTGTCCTTCATTTATACACACCGGATATTTTATACAGATTTAGTATCACTTATTTGAAATACTTGGGACCAGAAGTGTTTTGGATCTCAAATTTGTGTTTTTACTGGATTTTGGTATATCAGTATATACCTAGTTAAGCATTCCTAAATCTGAAAATCCAAAATGCACCAAAGAGCATTTCTCTCTTTTTTTTTTTTTTGAGACACAGTCTTGCTCTGTTTCCCGGGCTAGAGTATCACGGCATCAGCCGAGCAGCTCACAGCAACTGCAAACTCCTGGGCTGGAGCGATCCTCCTGCCCCAGCCTCCTAAGTAGCTGGGACTGCAGGCATACACCATGACCCCTGGCTAATTTGTCTATTTTTACTAGAGACAGGGTCTTGCTCTTGTTCAGGCTGGTCTGTAACTCCTGACCTCATGCAATCCTTGTGTCTCATCCTCCCACAATGCTAGTATTACAGGTGTGAGCCACCGCGCCAAGCTCAATAATCTTGAGTTTTGGTTGAAATCAGTGGTAGACTGAGGACATGATGCAGGGAACCAGGGACATCTGTGGCAAAAATCCATGAAATTAAAACTTTAAATCTCCCAACAGATCGTACCAGGTGGTGGCACTTTCCCCATCCCCAACAAACCCCCCACACAAAGACAGGCATGGGTAAAGCTCCAGCTACGTTTCCATGGCTGCCAACCTCTTCGTCACAATCATATTTTGTAAGTTTGCTATAATAAAGTCCTAGTCTCTTGCAATGAAATAAAATGGAGGTTATTAGCACCTACACATCTTAGACTCTCAGAAGGGCCCCTGTTAAGCTCCCAGGGTCCACTGAATCAGAATTCTGGGATTGGGCCCAGAATCTGTTGTTGACTTTAGATTGGCGTTTGAAGGGACTTTAGAGGTCATGTGTTAGATCCAATCAACATAAGAGTGTCAGTGGGGCTCTCCATTTGGGCTGGGGCACTATTAATGGGCTACTAACATGGGTAAGGCAGTTATGCTCGACCAAAAACCAGGCAGACAGCCCATATTGACAACAAAAAATAGAAACAAAAAACTATATGGGTGTGGTGGCACACGCCTGTAGTCCCATCTACTCTGGTGGCTCAACCAGGAGAATCGCTTAAGCCCATGAGTTTGAGATTACTGTGAACTAGGCTAACGCCACGGCACTCTAGCCCAGGTGACAGAGCAAGACTGTCTGAAAAAAAACAAAAAAGAGTAGGAATTAATATTAACATGTGTTATATCTAGAGTTGGTCCTACCAACTTTTTTGGATAGTGGACCACGTGAAGCTATACACACAATACTTCACAATTTCCCCAAGAATACACCGGGACAAAGACAAGCAGTTACATTACTATACTTTTGTCACTCAATTACTACTTCATCGTAAGTGTATTTAGGTTGCTAGGTCTGCCATAGCAAAATACCTTACACTAGGTGGCTTAAATCAGTGGTCCCCAACCTTTTTGGCACCAGGGACCAGTTTCATGGAAGACAAATTTTCCACTGGTGGGGGGTGATGCAAGCGATGGGGAACAGCTGTAAATACCTCACTCACTCGCCTCCTCCTGTGTGCCCCCTTCCCCCCTTCCTAAGTTTCATGGAACGCAATTTTTCCAGGGACGAGGACTGGGGGTGGAGATGGGGCGGAGGAGTTCTGCAGACGTGTCTGCGGCCCAGTGGTTGGGGACCACAGGCTTAAATACCAGAAATTTCTTTCTCACAGATCTGGAGGCTGCAAGTCCAAGATCAAGCTGTTCGCAAGTTTGGTTTCTCCCTCAGGCCTCTCTCCTTGGTTTGCAGATGGCGACTTTCTCATTGTGTCCTCAACATGCTCTTTCCAGGGGTATATGGTGCACATATACCCCTGGTCTCTTCTGTGTCTAATTCCTCTAAGGACACTTACATTGGATTGGGGATCACCCTAATGGCCTCATTCTAACTTAATCACCTCCTCTTTAAAGGCCCTCTCTCCAAATTCTGTCACGTTCCAAAGTACTAGAGGTTAGGGATTGAACATATAATTTGGGGGAGCGGACACAATTTAACCCAAAACAATGGAATGTAAATGTAAAATGTAAATGTATAAAAGAACTCGTTGGTTAAATTTGATGGTTTAAGAGCACATAAAAGAAAAATAGCAAGAAAGCTATTTTGATTTGAACTTTATATAATCCAAGTCATTACATGAGAATGTCTCAAATGATTCGAGAGTTCATCGCTCCAATAATAAATAAAATAAAGGTGGACAATCTTCTAACTTACCGCAAAAATGTCTGGGAGGCGGTAATGTTATCATTCCTATTAATAAAATCTCCTTTATATAAAGTACAGTGGTTATTAACCTTTTTTGGCAGTCACCAAGTTCTCTGAAATTCTGATGAAAGAAAATGGGCCCCTCATGAGAAAACAGTACATATCTTGAAAGTCTGACATCATTGTTTCAGGAGATTGACAAAACACCCCTCTAAACTTCATCAGGGTCCATGGACTCAGGTTGAAGAGCACTGGCCTAAAAGACCATTATCTAAATTTAAAACTAAGTCTAATGGAACAAAACACAAATTGAGATCACCTTGAAAAATATAGGACCTGCAGTAACCATGTTTACATTTAGTTACTTCCCCCAAAGGACTGGAAGTAGCTAATCAGCAACTCAATAACATCAGAAGAAATTTTAACCCTACTAGAGCCAAGACTAAAGACGGGAAGAGGGGAGAAGAGAGAGAATTATTATTTCCAAAAATCTAAACTGAGAAAACCTATTGCAATTTAGCACAAAATCTTAGCTCAAGAGGCCAGGATAAAAAGAGAAAATACAATAGGTAAAAATCAGGTTTCTTGTTTTATTCATAGATGATCCATTTTCTACACACCAAACTCAAGGCTGACAAAGATAACATTATGTTGTGAAATTCTAAAACCTAGCTTGTACTTTTTTCTCTCTACACAAAGGCACACTCTGACTTTCCTCAAAAAGCATGTCTGGATACGTTCGGATAGTTGAGCAAAAGAGAAACCTATATGGAATGCCACTACTTTGCTTGGAGAACTCTGGATAATGTCACTAAGATAAAAGCTTTCACAGACAGGGACTTTATCTACCTGTTTTACCACTGTTGCCCTTGAGTCTTGCTCCAAAATGTTTGCTGAATTTGAATGAATGATGTTTATTTTAGATAGGACAGCTTTAATCTGGAAATGAGGGTTAGAATGTAATGTCCATCTCTACTGTACAAAGTGCCTCAACTGGATCACTCTAGCTCTATGTTGAATCCACGAGGTACAGTAGCAAGATGAAGCATCAGAAAACAAAACTGCTATGTGTCAGAAAGATTGGTCACAGCGTTATTTTCTAAAAAGTTACCCAAAAAATAACTTGCTGAAGATCCATCTGACATACTGCTGAGAAACAAATTTTGTTTTCTGATCTATCACTTTAATTTGCCTTGTATGTCCATCTATACAATCAAAAGTTCAAGTGCATTTTGAAAGGGAACTCAGAAAATACCCCAAAGAGAAGTGGAAATCAGGTTTATTCTATCGTAGATATATATGAACAATCAACCCCAGTTAGCTTTGGGTAGTAAGAGGGAAGTCTGGTCACCTGAAGAGCACTGACATTGAATGAGATCTAAAGTGAATAAAGAAAAATGGGATAAGAATGTGTGAAGGGAAAGAAGTTAAATATCTGGTTACC